AATACATTGATTGCCCACACCTACTATCACTCATTAAATTTTCTATTCTAAAACGCCATTCTAGACATTATGTATTGTTTCAAATACCATACCATCGTACAAATTACTGAATTAATTCTGTCATTAACAGATTATCTATAAAGGCGAATACGATTGCTAATAACATTGATTTTTTTAATATTAAGTTAGACGCATTTGATACAGCACTGCGTAATCTATTATTTAATAATTAGTTTCTTTCTTTCCTAAATAGCAGCGTTATACATATATATTATACAATTTGTATTCAAAGGGTACTTTAATTTTGAAGTCCCGTAAATAAATAATAAATTTTTTTTTAAATAATAATAATTTTGGAAGAGTTAAAGTTGAAATTTTTAGAAATAATTGAATTCGCTATTTTTTTCGCCATTGTTATGAAAAAGTGAAACAATTTTAAAGAAATATATATATATATATATAATATATTATATATATTATATATTATAACAAAAATTATGCAAAAATTAACAACTGCCTAAAAAAGACTTTATAAGGCAGTTTACTGCCTAAAAAAGACTTTATAGGGCAGTTTTCTGCCTAAAAAAGTCTTTTTTAGGCAGTTGGCCCAAACTGCCTTAAAAAGTGCTACTTTATCTGCCCAAAACAGGCACAAAAAAGACACTTTTTCATGTCAATGGCGAAAAAAATAATTTACCAAATAATTTCAGATAATATTTTTTAAAAGTAATTGAATTTTAAAAGATTGAAAATTTTGATTTTTGAAATTAATTTAACTTCAAGTGATTTTGAATTTAAAATTTTTTGATGATTTCACTAAAAAGTTTATTAGAAATTGCAGACAAAAATACAATAATTTGAAAACAATTTGAAATTATTAAATTTCAAAAAATTGTAAATGGAAAATTTTAGAAATTAAATTTTAGAAGCTTTTAAATTGAAATTTTTCAAAATAATTGAATTTCAAAAGATTGTGTTAAAGGGTATAGGGGGTTAAGGATACAAAAATTGCCGTTGCAGGTATTCTGTTCAAATTGACACCATATATTGCTACCCCTATGAATATAAAATTCTGCAAGTATGAACCCATAATTCGAATTTTTGGGGGAGTTATGGTGGGGGAAAGGAAAATAAAGAAATCCGTTTTTCTCGAAAACTACTGAACCGATTTTAATGAGCTTTGAATATGTTATACATGTCGCTAAGACAATTCTAAAAAAAAAATCTCAAAATTTTTTTTTGAAAAAAAGTCAAAAAAAATTAATTTTGAAATTTTCAAAAATTTTTTTTGGGGTGATTTTTTGAAGTGACCACTTTAATTTTTTTTTAAAAGTTACCTTATAATATCCCCTTTAACATATATTTTTTTCAGATTTTTAAAAAATGTAGTTTTTGAATAATTTAACGAAAACCATCGTCGCGCTACATGACGCAGCGCGCACAGTGTGCTGATGCAGTATACAGGGTATTCCAAAAGTATGGAAACTTTCAAATATCTCGAAAAGTACGAATTTTTGTAAAAAATGTTCAAGACAAAAGTTGTTCCAAACAAAAAGATGTACATCTTTGAAACCAAAAAATTGGGCCCGGAGCCCAATGTTGTGCCCTACAATGAAAAAAGTGGTTTTCTTAAATGAGACCACTAATTTTCAGTATCAAATTCGTAATCCCCATGAAATTCTGCGTTCAAACATGTGGTATAAGTGCCCAAAATATTGGGCCCAATCCAAGATATTGGGTCCAATATTTTTTGGCTTTTGTACTACAAGTTTAAACCCAGAATTTCATAACGATTCTGAAATGGATACTGAAAATTAGTGGGTTTTATTTAAACAACTAATTTTTTTAATGTGGGCCTCACATTGGGCCGCGGTATCTTACATTGGGCTTTGTGTACAATTTGAAAATTAGCTTCGAATTTCTAATCCTATGACCCCAAAAACTTCTAAAGATGCGATTTTTTAAATTTATTTATTTAATGAAAAATGTTGGGCCTAATCCCAGACATTGGGCCCAATATTTTTGTCATTTTTACTACAAGTCTAACCCAAGAAATTCATGGGGATTACGAATTGGATACTGAAAATTAATGGGTTTTATTCGAGACAACTAATTTTTTTTACCGTGGGCCTCACATTGGGCGGCGGAATCTTACATTGGGCTCTATGCCCAATTTGAAAATTAGCTTCCAATTTCTAATCCTGTGATCTCAAAATCCCTCCAAGATGCGATTTTCTAAAATTTATTTATCTGTTGATAAATTGTGGACCCAATATCTTGGATTGGGCCCAATATTTTGGGCACTTATACCACATGTTTGAACGCAGAATTTCATGGGGATTACGAATTTGATACTGAAAATTAGTGGTCTCATTTAAGAAAACCACTTTTTTCATTGTAGGGCACAACATTGGGCTCCGGGCCCAATTTTTTGGTTTCAAAGATGTACATCTTTTTGTTTGGAACAACTTTTGTCTTGAACATTTTTTACAAAAATTCGTACTTTTCGAGATATTTGAAAGTTTCCATACTTTTGGAATACCCTGTATACTGCATCAGCACACTGTGCGCGCTGCGTCATGTAGCGCGACGATGGTTTTCGTTAAATTATTCAAAAACTACATTTTTTAAAAATCTGAAAAAAATATATGTTAAAGGGGATATTATAAGGTAACTTTTAAAAAAAAATTAAAGTGGTCACTTCAAAAAATCACCCCAAAAAAAATTTTTGAAAATTTCAAAATTAATTTTTTTTGACTTTTTTTCAAAAAAAAATTTTGAGATTTTTTTTTTAGAATTGTCTTAGCGACATGTATAACATATTCAAAGCTCATTAAAATCGGTTCAGTAGTTTTCGAGAAAAACGGATTTCTTTATTTTCCTTTCCCCCACCATAACTCCCCCAAAAATTCGAATTATGGGTTCATACTTGCAGAATCTTATATTCATAGGGGTAGCAATATATGGTGTCAATTTGAACAGAATACCTGCAACGGCAATTTTTGTATCCTTAACCCCCTATACCCTTTCAGACAATAATTATAATAAGAGAAATTTTTAGTGATTTCTGTTGATGAAGAATTTATTAAAAATCACATAAAAAAATTGAATTCTAAAAGTTTTTAATTGAAAAATATTTTCAAATAATTGAATTTCCTAAGAATATTATAAAAATTATTAAAAAAATAATTGTAATTTTTGCAAATAATTAAATTTCAAGTGATTTTGAATTAAAAATTTTTGGTAATTTTATTTGCTAATTTTTTTTTAAAATTATATAAACAATTATTAAATTTTCATAAAAATTTTAATTGAAAATTGGTTTCAGATAGTTGAAATTTCAAAGAATATTATTAAAATTAAAAATAATTGAATTTCCTTAGAGTTATAAATGAAATTATTAAATTTCAAAAAAAAAATTTTCGATGGAAAATTTTAGAAATAATTAAATTTTAGATGCTTTTAAATTCAAATTATTGAAAATTCAATTAATTTTGAATTCAAATTTTTGAGAATAATGAAATTTTATTTGATTTTAAATTTGGAAAAAATAATTGAATTTCAGTTCATTTTGAATTGAAAATTTTGAAAATAATTGAATTTCAGTTTATTTTGAATTGAAAATTTTGAAAATAATTGATTTTCAATTGAAATTTTAAATAATAATTTAATTTAAGTTCATTTTTGATTGAAAATTTGGATAATTAATTTTGAATAGAAATTTTAGAAAATAATTGAATTTTATTTCATTTTAAATTGAAAACCTGGTAAATAATTAAATTTTAAATTGAAAATTTTTGATAATTATTGGATTTTTAATTGATTTTGAATTAAAATTTCTGGTAATAATTGAATTTTAGTTTATTTTGAATTGAAATTTTTAAAAAATAATTCAATTTTATTGTGATATTTTTTTTTAAATTATAAACAATTGTTAAATTTCATAAAAATTTTAATTGAAAAATAATTTTGATATAATTGAATTTGTGATGTATTTCATTAAAATTATTAAAAATAATTAATTTAGTGAAGAATCATTTTAGTTCAAAATTTGTTAAATAATTGAATTGAAGAAGATCTAAAGAAGATCTACATTTTATACTAAAAAAAATGTATTTTATTTACATTTTTTTTTCAAATGTAAAAAAAAATGTCGCATTTTATTAAAATGAGTCGATAAAAGCCGTATAATCCGAGGCCTGAGATAATATAGTAAATAAGTAACCAAAAATTAATCACAAAAAACCTCTATGAGGAAGCAATAAATGTTTACAAAATGAACACAAAAAATTCATACTTCAACTTGGCAGCATTTTTTTTAATTTTATTACTTTTTATATTGTAATTTTCTATATTGATAGACTCCATGAAAAAAAAAAATTATTTCGATTTTAAAACGGAGGAAAAAATAATTAAAAAGCCTCAATAGAATTTTTTTTTTTAAATAAATTTTTGATAGACTCTCTGAAGAGGAAATCATTTAGATTTCGAAACGTTGATGTAAATAAAAAAAAACTTTGTAAAAAAAACTATTTGTCCGAATGTTTTAATTTATTTTTTCACCTCTCTATATTCCTCTAACGTAAAAGATATAGGTTATAGAGGGGGGGGAGGGGAAACTAGATAACGATCTAATATTTAGATTTTATTTACCTCCCGTTATCATTATCATTTTATCAAATAACTAATAAGGGAATAAATTACAAAGATATTACAATTTTATCACAGTTAAAATTATATATAAAACCGTTATTGTAAGCGTAAAAAGTTCATTACCTTCAACTCCCTAGATTTATTGATTTTTTTCTCACCCTGATATTCCCTCTCTTTCACACACTTTTCCATAATACCGACAAATAACGAGGTAATAAAAAGTATCTACCTTACCGACATTAGATAATTCACTAAACTCCTGCTGGTAATTCCCGAATGCTGGTAAAAACTTGTACAAACATGTAATTGGTTTACTAATAGTGTTTACTGATTCGAAGATAATCGAATTTTTCGAAAATTAGATTCATTTTCATTGTATAGAATATCAAAACAATTATAGTTGACTAGTAGAAGCAATTTAAAAACAGTTCTTTAATCTCTGGTGTGGCTTTGATCGTGTCTTTACCCATATAACTTTGTGTATACATATATATATATGTGAGTATAGAGCTTGTGTTCGATGCACAGCATTAATGTAGGAGTGCATCATGGCGTCGAGCAAGTCGTGTGTCATCACCGCGAACTTTAGATGAAAGCCTTGTTTTACAAATAAGTGCATTTTTTTTTGCGAATTTTGTGTCAATATTTGAAAGCTTTAATCTTCTAAAGGTCAAATAACATTAAATTAGGTAAGAAATTAAATATTGACTTGATTTAACATGTGATCGATTTTTTTTTAACTGGGGTCTGCCCGTTTTATTCACACATCCATTTGCCCGCCGAGCCGATAGCGGATCACCGCTTATATATATATATATACATTCACTCCTCACAATCATTATAATTATTAAATAACAGCATATATACCGTTAAAACGACCTAATCCCGATGCGAGCCGAGAGAAAAATTTTCTTTCTCGCCACAAAAAAAAATCGTGAAAATGTTTTCCTTTTTTTTTCTTTCCTGAATTTTTATATTCTTTTTTATTTTTATTTTCTTTCGCAATTTTATTGAGTTTAGAATTTTTTCTGCCTTTAGCCATTTATTAATGAAAATTTTCATTTGTTTTAGTCATCACGTTTCGTGCATTTTTTTTTTCGTAAAAATTTCGGAGTAATATAGTCGCAAGTTGGCCCGTCCCGAGAGTTATTTCAGGGCCGCAACTAGTGAAAAAAAATTTTTTTTTTTTTATTCATGGCGGCAGTCGCGATTAATGAGGGTTTTATTTTCCCAAGTTGCAAATTTGTTTCGATTTCGTTATATTAGAAAATATTTTAATATGAAAATTTTTCAAATATTTGTAATTGATTCGAATTTTTTTGTTCTGGTGTCAATGAACTTTGTATTTATTTTCAAAGAATGTTTAAAGCCGTTCAATCACTTAATATTAACCTCAAAATTAATAATTAAATCAATTAAACTCTAATTAAGGGGAGAATTCAGTGAAATTTTAACCAATCGAAATATAATATTTTAAGGAGATTCAACCTATTAACATAACCTCAAACTAAAAAGTAGTTTTTAATAAAAATAAAAATATATTTAAAATTTATTACATCCAAATTCGACAGATTTAAATGTACAATTTTGGAAAAAAATTATTTTTAGTTAAAATTTGTTATTAAATAATAATTAATAAACATTTTGTATTTTTTCTTAAAAGTTAGTGAAGAATTGTATCATTTTTATGCAATTTTTACTAAAAATAACTCATTTTGCTTTTTGAAAGATTTTCTACAATTCTTTTTGTTGAATTTTATTAAAAACTAGCAAAATTAAACGCCAAATTGAGTATTTAATTGTTTGTTATAAAGAAATTAAAAATTAATATTATCAATAACAATTTAATTTATTAGAATATTATTACATATTAAATGATAATAATGAAAATTATATATTTACAGGCCTCGGATTATACGACTTTTTCCGACTTTTTTCAAAAATACCACTTTTATCGACTTATTTTAATAAAATGCGACATTTTTTTTTATATTTGAAAAGAAAATGTAAAAAAAATACCTCATTTTTAGTATAAAATGTAGATCTTCGTCAGATCTTCTTCAATTCAATTATTTAACAAATTTTCAACTAAAATGATTCTTCACTAAATTAATTATTTTTAATAATTTTAATGAAATACATCACAAATTCAATTATATCAAAATTATTTTTTCAATTAAAATTTTTATGAAATTTAACAATTGTTTATAATTTAAAAAAAAAATATCACAATAAAATTGAATTATTTTTTAAAAATTTCAATTCAAAATAAACTAAAATTCAATTATTACCCGAAATTTTAATTAAAAATCAATTAAAAATCCAATAATTATCAAAAATTTTCAATTTAAAATTTAATTATTTACCAGGTTTTCAATTTAAAATGAAATAAAATTCAATTATTTTCTAAAATTTCTATTCAAAATTAATTATCCAAATTTTCAATCAAAAATGAACTTAAATTAAATTATTATTTAAAATTTCAATTAATATTCAATTATTACCCAAAATTTCCAATTCAAAATAAACTGAAATTCAATTATTTTCAAAATTTTCAATTCAAAATGAACTGAAATTCAATTATTTTCAAAATTTTCAATTCAAAGTCAACTAAAATTCAATTATTTTCAAAAATTTCAATTAACAATAAACTACAATTCAATTATTTTCCAAATTTTAACTGAAATTTAATTATTTTCAAAATTTTCAATCCTTAATCAACTAAAATTCAATTATTTAAAAAATTTTCAATTTCAATTTAATTATTAGTTTCATAAATTTCAATTAAAAATCAACTAAAATTTCAATTGTTTTCCAAGTATTCAATTCAAAATAAACTAAAATTCAATTATTTTCCAAGTATTCAATTCAAAATAAACTAAAATTCAATTATTTTCTTAAAATTGTGGTTTTAAAATCAACTAATATTCAATTATTTTCAAAATTTTAATTAAAATTCAATTATTTCCCAAAAATTTTCAATTTAAAATCAAATAAAATTTCATTATTCTCAAAAATTTGAATTCAAAATTAATTGAATTTTCAATAATTTGAATTTAAAAGCATCTAAAATTTAATTATTTCTAAAATTTTCCATCGAAATTTTTTTTTTTTTTGAAATTTAATAATTTCAATTATAACTCTAAGGAATTTCAATTATTTTTAACTATTTTAATAATATTCTTTGAAAATTTAACTATCTGAAACCATTTTTCAATTAAAAATGATTTTCAAATTATTGTATTTTGTCCGCATTTTCTAATAAATTTTTAGTGAAATCATCTAAAATTTTCATTACAAAACACTTAAAGTTTCAATTAATTTCAAAAATCTCAATTTTAAATCTTTGAAAAATCAATTAAATTTAAAAAATGTTTTCCAAAAATTGTTTGATAAATTATTTTTAGTTCTGTAAAATTTAATAATTGTTTGAAAATTAACAATATCTTTTGAAATTTTATTATTTCTAAAAATTTCAACTTTAACCCTTCGAAAAGGATTATTATTAAAAAAAAAATTTTTTTATTTAAAAATCTGTAAAATATTTTTGTTAAAATAAAAAACAAATCCACTTTTTTTTGGAATAAAAATCGACTAAAACGACTTTTTTTGTGTCTTTAAGTTGATTCGAGGCCTGTGTTTTTATAATTAATATTTAATAGGTATTCGACATAAAATTAAACCAAGCATTTTATTATTATATAATATTTTGTTCAAAAGTTTATAAACAAATAAAAAATTTTTATAGTTTTTAAACAAAGCATTATTTAACAAAAGCACAAAATCAGAATTGTAGAGAATCTTTTAAAGAGAAAAATGAGCCATTATTTATTAAAATTGAATAAAAATTATAGAATTGTTCATTAACTTTTAAGAAAAAAAAGAAAATATTTATTAATTATTATTTAATAACAAATTTTAACTCAAATTTAATTTTTTTTTCCAAAATTCTACAATTGAATTTTTCGAATTTGGGTGTAATAAATTTTAAATATATTTTTAGTTCTATTAAAAACTAATTTTTAGATTGGATTTTAAAAAATTTCAATTTTTTTCAAAAAAACAGTTTTTTAAAATCAAAAAATATAAAATTAGACAATCAGATCAAAAATTAATTTCTATTTCTTATTTTTAAGTCAAGAAGCAATTAATAACTAAAAATTATTTATAATTAAACAAATTTTAGAAGTAAAAATATTTTTTTTTTAGATTAATTGTACCCGGTAAGAAGGCTTGTATTAAAAAGTAATGAAAATTTCATCCCATCATATCAACTTAAGAATTAAATCCTTTTGAATTCCTTTTTTGTCGATTTAACTTTCTCTCTTAATTTGAATTAGTAAAAAGTGAGCCACTAATTCACATTAGTAAGAATTTTTACTAATTTTTAGTAAAATATTACTGATTTAGTAGTTTAAATTTTTTTTTTACTAAAGTTTTAGTGAAAAGTAATTAAAAATTAGTGAAAATTCTTACTAATTTAAATTAGTAGCTTACTTTTCACTAATTCAAATTTAGAGAATTAATTCGCAAATTGGGAGAAATTTCTTATCAATTTAAATCCATTTCTCTTCTCATCGGCGATAGAAATTTTTGGCTCATTTTGTGAAAACTTTCGAATACCGATAATTAATATTGAAATAATATAATTTTTATTCCTTTAAATGCAGTGATTTAAATTGTTGTTTATTTGTTATTTATAGGAAAAAAAAAATGAATAAACGTAGGAGAACATCGTCTGTGGCGAGTCGAGGAACAGAGGATGATCCTGATGATGTTCAACCTGAACCTACGAAGAGAAGAAAAAAATTCGATCCTGTGAGTTTTTTTTTTTTTTTGTAAAACATTTTGAAAATTGAACATTTTTTTTTCTTTTACATATTTCTTCATTATTTGCCATTTTTTAGAGTGACTTGTGTCAACAACTCTATGACATACTACGAACACATAGAAAAGAAGACGGGAGTTTATTGTGCGACGCCTTTATCCGAGTGCCGAAAAGAAGACAAGAACCCGGCTATTATGAAGTCGTTTCAAATCCAATTGATTTACTTAAAGTTCAACAAAAGCTAAAAACCGATGAATATCGTGATATGGAAGATTTAGCTTCTGATATTCATCTTATGGTTAATAATGCCAAAGCGTTCTACATGGTAATAGTGCAACGTTATTTTTTTTTCCTTATATTGCATTATTTTTTCCACAACAATTCGATTTTAATAAATTTTTCATCTTTTAACAGCGAACCTCACCTGAATATAAAGATGCAACAGAACTTTGGGAACTTTGTACTTGTACAAAGAATCGTATTTCAGAAGAATATGAAGATGCAGAAACAAAGGGTAAAATTATGCTCAAGGTAAATAAAGTATTCAATTTATTGAATATAAATGAAATACAGTGGAACCTCGATAACTCGAAACTCGTCACGGTGGGCTTGAACTAACTTTAACCCAAAAGTACTGGCCAATTTCGGCTCTCTTCAGATATTAATTCCACATTATTTTCTGAGTAATTTGAACCTAAGATGAAAAAAAAAAACGATAGAGGGATTTTCGAATAAACACGATTCAGTAACTCAAAGTTCATATGAACGTGCAGGGTTTTCACGGGTCAGGGAATTTTATGAAAAGTACTGGAAAAATATCAAATTTCTAAAAATGCTACTTTTATAATTTTTGAAATTTTCAATTCAAACTTTTGCTTCTAAAAATTATTGTCTTACATTTTTATAAATTGTAGGCCTCGCATCGACTTTTGAAGAAAAAAAGTCATTTTAGTCGATTTAAATTACAAGAAAAGTCTAAAAAGTCCATTTTTGATTTTCAATAAATTTGATTTATTAAATATTTTATTATTATTAACAATTTTTTTATTGGAAATTAAATCAAATTTATTAATTCCTTAATAAGAATGTTTCACAGAAATATTTTCAATTTTTTCTTTTTATACAACCAAATTAAACTGAGACAAATTTTCAATATTTCAATTCAGTTTCTAAATGAATTTTGAAAAATAATAATTTAGTTACATTAAAAGAAAAGAAAAATTTTTCAAGTTTTATACACATTATTTGAATTCAAAATTTCGGAAAATGTTTTAAATAATTAAATTTTCGAAGAATTTGATTAAAATATTTTGTCCCAGGAAATCATGAGGACAATCATTTAAGTACAATAATATATAAATTCATTAATTAATTTCTATCTAAAGTTGAATAACAATGATAAAGATAAAAATATAACAATTTTTGATGATTATAACAGCAAAAATCATAAATAATTGAATTTTTGAAAAATTAGATTAAAACTGTTGAAATAATTAATTAAACAAAGAATTATATAGATACAAATGTGGGGAAAAAAATTTTCAATTGAATTAACATTGAATTAATTATTCAATTACTAATTGAATTTGAAAGAGTTCGATTTAAAATTTTTTTTGGAAATAATTAAATTTCAGTAGATTTTAAATTGAAACTTTCATAAATTTTAATTAATATAATTTTTTTTTTACAAACTTTAAAGAATAATAGAATTTTTATTTATTTATTTATTTATATATGAGACTTCAAAAATAAAGTACCCTTTAAATACAAATTGTATAATATATATATGTATAACGCTGCTATTTAGAAGAGAAAGAAACTAATTATTAAATAATAGATTACGCAGTGCTGTACTAAATGCATTTAAGTTAATATTAAAGAAATCAATGTCATTAGCAATCATATTTGCCTTTATAGATAATCTATTAATGACAGAGTTAATTCCGTAATTTGTACGATTGTATGGTATTTGAAACAGTACATAATGTCTGGAATAACGTATTGAAATAGAAAATTTAATAAGTGATAGTAGAGAAGGGCAACCAATGTATCCAGTTAAAATTTTAAAAAAGAAATTTTAGAGTATTTTTAATTAAAAAATTTTTTATTTCCCCGAATTATTGAAAAACTGTATTAAAGTAATTTAAAAAATTAATTTAGCGAAGAATTTTAATTTAATTTTTTAGAAATAATTGAATTATAGAGAATTTTAGAGAATTTTCAATTGAAAAATGTTTTAAAAAATTTGAATTTTCGATGTTTGAAATTTTCAAGAAAATTTTAATAAACTTGAATTATTGAAATTTTTAAAAAATTATATAATCTAAAATTTAATTTTAAAAAATTATATAAACAAAAATTTAATTTTAAAGAATTAATAATTAAAAAACGTTTTAAGTAATTGAATTTTTGAAAAATTTTTATCAAAGTTATCAGAAATAATTAATTCAAAAAGAAATTGAAATTGAAAATATCCATTTTGTAAAATTAATCCAAAAATAACAATAATAGTGATTTTTTTTTTTTGAAACAGGAAAAAATACTTTAATCCGATATGATCTAGTGGCAAAAATACCTATTTTGTAATTAAAATTAATCCAAAAATGACAATAATAAAAATTACTGTCGTAAAACAAAAAAAAATACGTTAATCCTATATAATTAATTCAAAAAGAAATTGAAGTTACAAATTTGAAAAATAATTGAGTTTTTGAAGAGCAATAGTTAAAATTTTTAGAACTAATTGAATTTCAGAAGACTTTTAATGAAAATTTTCATAAATTTGAATTTCTGTAGATATTTTATAAGCTTTAAACAAATAATTAAATTTTGCAAAATTTTGAATTTGAAAAATGTTTTAAATATTTGAATTTTCGAAAATTTTGATTAAAATTATTAAAATTAAATTATTCAACAATTTCAATTTTAAATAGAAAATTTAGAAATAATTGTATTTTAGAAGAGTTCGAGTTAAAATTTTGAGAAATAATAATTGAATTTCAGAAGATTATTAATTGAAACTTTCATTTTGAATTGGTGAAATTTTTTTTCAAAAACTTTAGACAATAATTTGTAATTTCAATTGAAAACTGTTTTAAATCATGTAATTTTCGAAGAATTTGTTTTAAAATTATTGAAAATAATTGATTTTGCAAACAATTCAAGTTAATATATTTTTTTAATAATTTAATTTTAAAAAAAAAGTCGTGCAATCCAAGGCTTGTTATTGAAAACCTCTTGAAATATTTTTATTAGTGTCAGGGAAAGATTTTAATTTTTACTGGAAATAAGGGAAAAACAAAATAATATTTTTATGCCAACCCTGATGTGAAATTTTTGATTCTTCAGATTGTCTAACGATCAGGGAAAGTCAGGGAATGTCAGAGAATTTCATTCAAAATCAGGGAAATTTCTATAAATTTATACAAAAATAAAAATTTTTTGTTAAATAAAAATTTTTTTTTAATCCAACAACACTTAAATGATTTTTATCGTTATTTTTAGTTAAAAGTTAGGGAAAAAGTCAAGAAATATCAGGGAAAAGTCAGGGAATTTTTTTCTCAATGCTTATTAGACACCCTGTTCTTCAAACTCAAAACAATATGCAATTATAGTATTGATTATTTTTCATCTGGTCATTTTATATTTGTTTCTATTGATGCTTTTCAGGCTAAAAAAGTATCGGTAAAACAAGAGGACGCTGAGGACACATCTGAAAGTTCAACAAATCCAGATGAAGAATCAACACAGGTTTATGAAGAACTTTTTTCAACTGTTATGACAGTTACAGATCCAACGGATAATAATCGTCCTCTTCATAGTATGTTTCAATTGAAACCATCTAAGAAATTATATCCCGAATATTATGAGGTGATTGATACGCCAATTGATTTAAAAATGATTGCCAAGAAAATACAGGATGGAGCTTATGGTTGTATTGGTGATATGGAACGGGATTTAATGCTAATGTGCCGCAATGCATGTCAATTCAATGAACCTGGTTCACAAATTTATAAGGATGCAAAACTTTTGAAGAAAATTATTAGCGTCGCAGCAAGAAAACAAGATGGTGGAATGAGTGCAGCGGTGAGTAAATCATTGGCTAATGCACCATCGACAAGAAGCAAGAGGGGTACACGAAGTGGTGCTTCATCATTGATTGCTCAAACTGCTGCACTACCAGACGAAGATGACGAAAGCGATGATGAAGAAGAGGAGGGCGCTGAGAATGATGAGTCCGACAATCCACAATGGCAATTGTTTCAAACTATTCGCACTGCACCGAATAATCAGGGTAAATATAAATTTTATTATTATTTATAATATGAATTTTATAATCGAAGATTCCAAAAAATTAATTCTATATTAATATTTGTTATTATTCGTTTCTCTAGCAAAAAAAAAGGCGTTACATGCCTGCCCTAACCGACCCTCATTTTTCGTTCAAAATAATATATTTTAAAACATATTACAGTTGAAGATACCTACAAAATTGACACAAGTTCTCTAAGTGATGGATATTTAACGGAAGATTAAGGAGAAGTGAACAATTGTTCAGTTCTACTAATATCCAGTCGTTCTAATCGTTGAAATATATATTTTAAAACAAATTATGTTAGATGCTCTATTACTTTTATATGTGGAATTTAAAAACAAAAATTAATTATTCAATTGAAACATCATATTTGAATTTTGCGACCAGGAAAACAATAAAATATTACATTTTGTTGAAATCTAAGCATTTAAAAAAAAAAATGTCCGACATTTTGAATTTTTAAATTTTACCATCACATTTGGATTCAACGACCTCGAAAACATTAGAATATTGCACTTTGAACAAATCGGAAAGTTTTTTAAAATTTTGGTAATTTAGTCCGACATTTTAAATTTCAAGACTTGAACTTTATTTTTATACTCAATGATCTCACATGCTTACAAAAAAGTTTGTCATTTTTTTTTTATAAAAAATGCTAACTTCACTCGACTCCCAGGAGCTCAAAAAAAGTAGATCAAGGATTCTCTATAATTTTCCTGTATTCTACATTTATTTAGCTTTATTTTGGTCCAAGGTTCATTCAATTTGGTCAATTTCTTCAAGAGAAATTAGGTTTTGAAAATGGAAATGCAAAAATAACACACTTCGAGTCACTTATCCTCCAATTATTAGGTCTTATAAAAAACGCTTCACCAAAACTGTTGCTAGCTCTCTCCGTATAAGCCAGAGTTTTGAGGGCATATTTCAAAATTTTATTAGAATATTTTCTGCCTTCGAATCCATTAGCATTTGTTTAGTTCTTGGTTACTTGTTCTAAAATGAAAATAAGAATTATCTATCATTATCGTAGTTATACGCTTATTAGTGAAATCAACGAAAACAATTTTCTCCTCAATTAAAATTTTTTTAGGGTCAGAATTTCTCAAACGGATCACACCTAAAATTCAGAAATTTTTTTCTAAGTCTCATTTTTTTTCTCAACGGTTTCTTACACAAAATTCAAAAAAAAAATTTAATTTTCTGAAGGACGTCAAGAACACTATTTTTTAATAACATTTTATAAATAAATAATATAAAAATCTATTAAATATGAAATTTTTTCAAAATAAAAATTATATTTAGAAACTACATTTTAAGATGAGAAAACCCCTTTTTTTTAATTGGTGAACAGGAACTGGAGAAAAAAATTTTTTAAAATAAGACTGCAAAAAATTTCAATTATTTATAACTTTAACAAAAAAATTTTTTTTTTTGACCTAAAAATTTCAGGGACTTATTTTTAGCATGTAAGGAGTAAAAAGAAATGATTTTTGATTAAAAAATAAAAAATTTCTGAATTTTAGGTGATCCGTTTGAGAATTTCTGACCCAAAAGTATTAGAATGTCAAAACGAAAAATAAATGCTCTTTCACTGATTGTGAGTAATAAATTTAAAATTTTAACCGAATTTTGAGAGCAGAAAGTCCATGAACGAAATAATAATATTTTAATTTGACGAAATCTTCTTTTTATAAAATCATAAAAAGTAAAAATTATATAAAGTTACAATGTACAGGCCTCGGATTATACGACTTTTCCTACTTTTTTTTTTTTTTTCAAAAATACGATTTTTTTCGACTTATTTTAATAAAATGCGAGTTTTTCGACTTTTTTCAACATTTAAAAAAAAAAATTTTTAACAAAATACAATTTTTTTAGTAGATATACAATGCAAATCTTCTGCAGATTTTCTTTATTTCAATTATTTAACAAATTTTTAAATAAAATTCTTCACTAAATTAATTATTTTTGAAAAATTTAATGACATTTTTTATAAATTCAATTATTTTAAACTATTTTCAATTAAAATTTCTATGAAAATTTAATAATTGTTTATAATTTTTAAAAAAAATTAGCAAATAAAATTAGCAAAAATTTTTAATTCAAAATCAAAAGAAATTTAATTATTTGCAAAAATTTCAATTACTTTTAATGATTTTTATAATATTCTTTGAAAATTCAATTATCTGAAAGCATTTTTCAATTAAAAACTTTTGGAATTCAATTTTTTTATGTGATTTCTAATAAATTCTTCATCAACAGAAATTTACTAGAATTTTCTATTATTATAATTATTGTCTGAAATTTAACACAATCTTTTGAAATTCAATTATTTTCAAAAATTTCAATTTAAAAGCTCCTAAAATTTAATTGTTTCTAAAATTTTCCATCTAAAATTTTTTGAAATTTAATAATTTCAATAATTATAACTCAAAATTCAATTATATTTAATGATTTTTATAATATTCCTCGAAAATTCAATTATCTTAAACTATTTTTCAATTAAAATTTTTATGAAAATTTAATAATTGTTTATAATTTTCAAAAAAAAAAATTAGCAAATAAAATTAGCAACAATTTTTAATTCAAAATCAATTGTAATTTAATTATTTGCAAAAATTTCAATTATTTTTAATGATTTTTATAATATTCTTCGAAAATTCAACTATCTGAAACCATTTTTCGTTTAAACAGTCTTCAAATTATTGTATTTTTGTCTGCAAATTCTAATAAATTTTTCTAATGAAATCATCAAAAACTTTAAATTAAAAATCACTTGAAGTTAAATTAATTTCAAAAATCAAAATTTTCAATCTTTTAAAATTCAATTACTTTTAAAAAATGTTATCGAAAATTATTTGATAAATTATTTTTTGTTCTGTAGAATTTAATTATTGTCTGAAAATTAGCAAAATCTTTTGAAATTCAATTATTTCTAGAAATTTCAACATTAGTTCTTTCAAAATTATTATTTGAAAAAAATTCTTTATTTAAAAATCTGTTAAACTCGATTAAGTATTGCCTGAAATTTTTTTGACCATCAAAACTAAAAACTATGACAAAATTTTTAATTCGAATAAATTGCTTAAATCAGACTTCAAAAAATAATAGAACTGGAATTTTAAAAATCTTTTTTTAGAAATTTGTCCTACTTAAATAAAATTTTGAAAATTTGTCTTACAATTAATTTGATTCTGAAATATTCGAAATAAATTTTCTTGATAATATTTTTATAGAATTATTCTTATTACAAAATTAATAAAATGAATTTAATATCTAATAACATTAGTTATATAAAGTAAAATATTCATTAAACAATTAAATTTTGTTAATATAAAAAAACCGACTTTTTCGACTTTTTTTGGAATATAAATCGTCTAAAAGGACTTTTTTTGGTTCCTTAAAGTCGATCCGAGGCCTGAGATCCGAAAATTTGATTTTTATATTGAAAACCTTAAAAAAGTCCTAAAATTTATGTTTTTTTTTGTTATTTGGTAAAATATGCAAAAAATGTATAGGATGTAAAAAAATATGTTTCAATAAGATCTTATAACTTTTATCTAAAAGTTTTTGAATGCTTTTACAGGTGTTCGAATGAGTGAATATTTTTGGAAACTTCCATCAAAACGTTTATATCCTGATTATTATAGAATGATAAAAAATCCAATTTCTTTACTGCAAATTCGTACTAAAATTAAGGTAAAATTTCTTTTTGTTTTAATTTAAATAAATTTTTTTTGATTTATTAATTACATTCCTTTTTTTTATTATAACATTTATTTTCGATTTTAGAAAGGGGGTTACGGAACTGTAAGTGAAGTTGCAGGCGATATGAATATAATGTTCGAAAATGCAAAAAAATATAACGTTCATACTTCCCGATTATATAAGGTATAATTTACAATTTTTTTGCTTTCCTTCTTTTTTCTTTCAAAAAAACATTTTTGTTTTTTGTGAAACAAAATTGTATACTAAATTATTTTTATTGAAAAAAGATTTCAAATTAATAATATACAAAATTATTTTCAAGAAAAAAAGATTCTAATTTGTCGACTATAAATTATTTTTCAGTGTGCAGTGAAATTACAAAAGATAATGCAAGAAAAAGTTCAAGAATTATTGGAATTTGATAGGGTGAGCAAACGTAACAATAGACAAACTATGAAAAAAAAAATAAAATTTTGTATCTTTTATTAAATTTCTACTCTCACTATCTTTTAATCTTAATTTTAAGATTAATTTATAAAAAGATTTTCAATTTACAGGAATCGGAATCCGAAAGCGAAACTGAATGTAATCAACAACCAAAATTGATAAAACGTGCGTCAAATGTTTTAACACGAGGAAAATACACGGACAATATACCATTAAAGAAGAGACTTTATGCTCTTGTTAAATGTGTAGTCGAATATGTTGTACGTATTATATAGAAAAATAATTTTTGTTTTTTTTTCGATAAAATTTTTTTTGAAATAAATTTCTTTCCAGTATGAGGATGGAAGACAGCCAATGTTGCTTTTTATGGAGAAACCATCGAAAAAATTGTATCCCGATTATTATCAAGTAATAAACGAACCTATTGATATGTTGGCCATTGAAGCGAATATAAAAGCTGAAAAATATCAAACTGAAAATGAATTGATACAAGATTTTAAGGTAGGATTTTTTTTTCCAACTTCCTAAAATCTTAGCTTTCAAACTAATTGTAAAATATTTTGAAAAAAATAAAAATGGTAGAAAGTTGAAAAAATGAAATCTTAGTTTAATTTTTGAAAAGAAGTGGTGAAATTTTAATTTTTTTAAAATCAGTGTAAATTAAAATTTATTAATTATTCATTTACTAAATTAATTTTTTACTTTCAGTTAATGTTTAGCAATTGTCGTCAATATAATGAGGAAGGATCATTAATTTATGAGGATGCAAATACATTGGAGAGAATATTAATGGAAAAAGTAAAAGAATTGGGACCATTGCCTGATGTGAAAAATAAATCGACAGCATCAACGCCAACGAGAAATGTTGGGTATGTAATAAATAATCAATCAACCTGAATCTTATTTTGTACAATTGGAAGAAAAAAATTTTTTTTTTTTTTTTGTTTTGTTTTAGTTTTATTTTTAAACGAAATGTTAATTTTTCAATGTTCAGAAGACCGAAAAAGGTGGTGTCACTTCGCATTCAAAAGTTGCGCACAATGTATGACACAATCAAAGATTATCATGATTCAAAAGGTAGACAATTGTCATTGATATTCATGAAACTACCAAATAAAAATGAATATCCCGATTATTATGAGGTAATAAAACAACCAATGAATATGGAGAAAATTGCAGCGACACTTAAAAATCATGGCTATGAAAGTTTGGAGGAACTTGTTTCGGATTTTATTCTAATGTTTGATAATGCCTGCAAGTACAATGAGCCAGATTCGCAGATTTACAAGGTTAGTTGAATTTTTGTTTTTTTGTTTTTTATAAACTGGATATTAATTATTAACCCTTAACTGGTACAATTTGAACGTAAATTGCACAGTGGGTCTGCTAGACCCGAAGTATTCAAATTATTGTACAGATTGAATATTTTTGCACAAAAATTTAATCTGAGGTAGTTTAACATGTGTTTTTTTTAAATTTCATCAGTTTTACCAGGAATTAATTTATTTCAAGCTATTTCAAAAAAATTGTGAAAAATAAAAACCAAAAAATTGCGTCTTTTTACTTAAAAATTCATGAGTTATTTAAATTTTAATATTATGACTTAAAAAATTTATGCAAAAAGGGACAAATTATTTTATTTCAACTTTTTTTCAAATAAAAATTTAATAACTTTGGGAGATTATTTTTACATTGTTTTGAAATAAGAAAAATGCATCATTTTTATTAACTTTGGACGTTAATAAAACTCAAAAAAAAAAATCTCAAAAATCATTGAGTTATTAATTAGTTGCAAACAAGTGAAAATATTTTTAAATATTAAATGAGTCAAATTTTCTAACATTTCTGTCTCTTCGGATTATCAAAGAGTGCAACACAAGAATTTTTTTTAGTTCGTAAGTCATTTAATTTAAATATCTCGCTCATAAGTTAACTTTATTTATTTAAATAACTTTGTTAACAAAATATGAAAAAAAATGTTATTAACTTATTTCCGCGTCTCTTTATCCTGAATTTTTAGGAAAAAACCGAAATTAATTATCTTTAACCGTTTAAAAGATATGAAATGATATTGCAAATGACCGAAATATTCTTTAATTGAATATTTTACAATTTTTTAAATTATTTATTACATACAGAAAAATTTCGGCGTGATTTTTAAAATTGACTAATCAGAAATTAATAATTATTAGAAAATTATGATTAGTAAATTTTAAAATTCGCGCCAATAATTTTTTGTCGTTTGTTTTTTTTCGGTCATTTGCAATTTCGGTCAAATGAAAAATTTGGGGTTTAAAAATTCTATTAAATAATTAAATAAAAATTATTACTAAATTAAATTATTAGTAATTAAATGAATACAATTATAAACAATTTAAGTAATTTATAATAATAAAAATTTCGAATAAATAAAAAAAATAATTGTAAATAAAAATTCGGCGTCTTAAAAAATTTATCATATAATTGAAAAATAAATAGGAAATTTTTTTTTACATTTTTTATTTATTTTTAAAAAATTTTTATTTCTGTCTAAAAAGTTTGGAGGCTTTTAAAATTAATCAAATCCGAAGTTATCAACAAAATTATGATTGGTTAAATTTTGAAATTAATTAATTATTATTAACGAAACCTATTTCATTTTTATTTTATTCCACTCAGAATTTTATTAACTTTAATTAATTAAATTAATAAAAGTTAATAAAATTAATAATAATTAAATTTAATTTATTTATTTATAATTACAAACGAGTGATAAATTCTTTACAAAATTTTATTTTTATTTTATTTATTTTTAAATTTTTTTTTTGTCAAACAAAAATTTGTCAGAGTAAAATATTATTAATTAAATTAAATTAAATTATAAAATTAAAATACTTGGATAAAAAATTTTAGTTTACTCATACTGTTTTCGTTTAAAAATGAAAAGTTACTGGAATTATAAGCAGGTGTGAAGGTTTTGCAATATATTTTAAAAATTCAGATAGAATTCATAAAGGGATTAGGACAACGTCGGTATACAAAAAAAAAGGAGGCTCTCTTACAATCATAAACTAATTTAGAAATGGTCGGGTCATACCTGCTTGAGTATACTTTAAATCAAATAATAGAAAAATACAGTTCTTAAATTTTCTGAACGTGCTTAAATTAGAAATACGAAGCTTTAGTTGACAAAGTTTGAAATAATTTTTAAAATAAATTTTTCGTGTAATTTTTTTTCAATTACACTTTGGAAACTCTATGTGCTATATTTTTAATTTAGATACTTTTTTTTAAGGTTTTTTTTTTTGTTTTTTATTGAAAAATGCAAACTGAACAATGTTTTTTGTGTCTTTTCTCTCTTTTTCTATAATCGAAATAGAAGCTAATTCGGTTCGTCGTCACTTTCATTTCAAATTAATTACAATTCCGAAAAATAATTTGAATTTCCTGAAGGTTAAACGTTTAAAATATTCCTAAAATTAAAGTAGAGAAAAAAATTTGAATTTTCCTTTAATTACAAATTGGTTAAGATATCACACGAAAAATTTATTTATTTTTAATTTCTTATTCGTATTTTTTTTCAAATTTTAATTTTATTTTACTTTTGTCAATTATTTTTTCTATATTTCGTCTTTTTATTATTTTAATTGTTTTTTACTTTTGCAATTTTTTCTTCATTTTTATGACTCTCGGAGGAAATAATTTTAATTTTGAAACTTTGGTAAAAGTTTATTATAATCTATTTTTAACCAAATGTTTTTATTATTATAATATTTTCTCAAATTAGAGTGATTATTGATATTATAAAAATGGAAAAATAATTTTTAAATAATTATTTTAGGGTTATGTTAGACGACCTTGAATTTTTTTGTATTTCTAGGTAAAAATTCAAAGTTGCCACATGGCCTTAATAAATATTAATGTGAAAACTTAATTTTAAATAAAAGACGATAGAAACTATAAATTAATTTTAATTTTATTATTTTTTACAAATTAAATTTATTTAGGGACATTGAAACATAATAAAAGTTATTATTTCAGGCCTCAGATCGATTATAAGGCATGAAAAAAGTCATTTTAGTCGATTTATATAAAAAAAAATCGAAAAAGTCGATTTTTTCTATTTTAATAAAATTTAATTGTTTAATGAATATTTTACTTTAAGGGCAGGTCAAAGTCGATACAATTTTTACATAAATTTTCAGTGGGAAAATCGCGTTGACTTTGACCTGCCCTTAAATAACTAATGTTATTAGATATTAAATTCATTTTATTAATTTTGTAATAAGAATAATTCTATAATGAATATTATCAAGAAAATTTATTTCGAATATTTCAGAATCGAACTAATTGTAAGACAAATTTTCAAAATTTTATTTAAATAGGACAAATTTCTAAAAAGAAATTTTAAAATTCTATTTTTATAATTTTTTCAAGTCTGATTTAAGCAATTTATTCGAATTAAAATTTTTGTCACAGTTTTTAGTTTTCATGGTCAAAAAAATTTCAGGCAATACTTAATCGAGTTTTACAGATTTTTAAATAAAATTTTTTTTTAAAAATAATAATTTTGGAAGAGTTAAAATTGAAATTTTTAGAAATAATTAAATTTCAAAAGATTTTGTTAATTTTCAGAAAATAATTAAATTTTACAGAACTAAAAATAATTTATCAAATAATTTTAGATAACATTTTTTTTAAAAAAGAAATTGAATTTTCAAAGATTTATAATTTAGATTTTTGAAATTGATTGAACTTAAAGTGTTTTTAATTAAAATTTTTTTGATGATTTCACTATAAAATTTATTAAAAATTGCAGACAACAATACAATAATTTATAAACTTTATAATCGAAAAATGGTTTCAAATAGTTGAATTTTCGAAGAATATTATAAAAATCATTAAATATAATTGAATTTTGAGTTATAATTGAAATTATTAAATTTCAAAAAATTTTAGATGGAAAATTTTAGAAATAAATATATTTTAAGAAGTTTTTAAATTAAAATTTGTGAAAATAATTAAATTTCAAAAGATTGTGTTAAATTTCAGACAATAATTATAATAATAGAAAATTCTAGTAAATTTCTGTTGATGAAGAATTTATTAGAAATCACATAAAAAAATTGAATTCCAAAAGTATTTAATTTAAAAATGTTTTCAGATAATTTAATTTTCGAAGTATTTTTTTTTTTTATTTTTAATTTTCAAAGATTTATAATTTAGATTTTTGAAATTAATTCAACTTCAAGTGATTTTTAATTTAAAATTTTTTGATGATTTCACTAAAAAATTTATTACAAATTGGAGATAATAAAAATACAATAATTTAAAAACTTTTTAAACGAAAAATGGTTTCAGATTGTTGAATTTTCGAAGAATATTATAAAAATCATTAAAAATAATTGAATTTTGAGTTATAATTGAAATTATTAAATTTCAAAAAATTTTAGATGGAAAATTTCAGAAATAATTAAATTTTAAAAGCTTTTAAATTGAAATTTTTGAAAATAATTGAATTTCAAAAGATTGTGTTAAATTTCAGACAATAATTATAATAAGAGAAATTTCTAGTAATTTCTGTTGATGAAGAATTTATTAGAAATCACATAAAAAAATTGAATTCCAAAAGTTTATAATTGAAAAATTTTTTTAGATAATTGAATTTTCGAAGTATTGTTCAGGCAATACTTAATAAAGTTTTACAGATTTTTAAATAAAAAATTTTTTTAAAAAATAATTATAATTTTGGAAGAGTTAAAGTTAAAATTTTTAGAAAAAATTAAATTTCAAAATATTTTCTTAATTTTTAGACAATAATTAAATTTTAAAAAACTAAAAATAATTTATCAAATAATTTTAAATAACATTTATTTAAAAGTAATTAAATTTTCAAAGATTTATAATTTAGATTTTTGAAATTAATTCAACTTCAAGTAATTTTTAATTTAAAATATTTGATGATTTCACTATAACATTTTTTACAAATTGCAGATTTCCACGTTTGCCCTTGCGCAAAAAAAAAAAAAAAAGAAATTGCAGACAAAATTTATAATAATTTCAAAACATTTTAAGTAAAAAATGGTTTCAGATAGTTGAATTTTAAAAGAATATTATAAAAATTACTAAAAAAAAAAAAATAATTGAAATTTTTGCAATTAATTAAATTACAATTGATTTTGAATTAAAAATTTTTGCTAATTTTATTTGCTAATTTTTTTTTAAATTATAAACAATTATTATTAAATTTTATAAAAAATTTTAATTGAAAAATAGTTTAAGATAATTGAATTTGTTTTGAAGAATTTCA